GATTTCAATTGATTTTAATTATTTCATGTAATTAATCAATTAATTAAATATTCGTCTAATTAATTAATTAATTATTCATTTTTATTTGATTTTAATTGATTTTAAAAGGAATTTAAAGGCGGCCCTACGAAATCCTTTCAATAAATATTCCCCCCTATAATAAATAATTTCTGACCACCCGGAATATTTATTATTAGGGGGGGGGGAACGTCGTTTATTATTAGGGGGAAGCGATTATGTGGAATAATGACCTTTTGGGCTGTATTTAGGGGATTTGGACCATTATTTTACCTACTTTGGGGGTTTAGGTAGTGGCTCAATAAAGCTGTGTAGGTTTAAGGGCGGCTGTGGGTAGGGAATTCATCCGAATCTTCCACTCCGTGTACCGAAACACGTTTTTGTTGCACTGGTTGGTAATTGGACACGGTTTTACGTCATCAATCTGGGCATGCTTCATTTGTAGCTGGACCTCTTTTTCCTCGTGCCATGTTGGGGGCCATGAAGGCATTAACACAAGGATTCTCTTAACAACAAGCCCAGGACAGGGACCACGATTCTGAGACATGATGCATGATGCCATGTGACAACACAACCCAGAGGGTCCATGTACCCAATAATTAGGTACTTGGAATTGGGTAATAGTAAACCCTATATACCCCCTTTAAAGGGACCTAAGTATCCTCAGGGCAACCTAGTTGCTGCAAGCTGCAACTCTGAACTCAGATTAAGGCCCCGCATACAAGCCCTGAAGCCCAAGTGTTGCGTTTAGGGTTAGGGTTCCCAGACATAAAACCTTACACCCGGCTTACCCTAAGTGTTTAAGTACCAAATCATCCTTTGCTCACCTCAACCTGTACTGCAACTGCCAGCAACAAGGTTCTTGATTCCCAGTTATTGGGCACAGGGACAACAGACTCTAAACTTTGTACAACCCCATATACTCCTGTATGTCCCTATACATCCCTACATCTTGCCAATACATCTCAAAATATCCATATACAGACATATACATGTGTAGACTATGTCTATATCCCTACACATTCCTAACAGCCTTACATATTCCTTGTAACCCTGAGAGGCCATGTCTTTCTATATCCTGATACATCCCGATACATGCCCCCAAAACCTATATGGCCTGATTCCCCCAAACCCTAGACCCTGCACACAGACCCTATGATCCCTAAACCCTAATCCCTGAACCCTAAACCATGCAGAGGGACCCTACAACCTAAGGTTCTCTGTCCCTGAAGAGCTCAGCGGCTGTCGCAGTATTCCAACACCAGGGCATCCTCGCCTGAGTAGCGTTTTTTGGGGTGGTTGAACCTAGGGTTATGTTAGGGTTATATTGGGATAATGGAAAAGAAAATGGAAACTACTACAATGGGGCTATTGGGGTTTAGGCTTATATTGGGGTTATATTCCTTATATAAAATACTATGCCCCAAAAGGAAGGTATAATCTTACTCCATATTGGGTACCATAGTATCCCCAAATAAAATACTACTCACCTGGGCTTTTGGGCTTTGGTTTTAAGGTTCAGGGCTTCGGGGCTAGGTCACTTAGAAGGGATAGCAGAGGGTTAGATAAATGTAGGGCAGCGTTGTGGCTAGGGTTTAAGGTTTAGGTTTTAGTGTCTAGGGCTTAGGGTGGGCTTCAATCCGCCCACCTACTCTTAGGGGCCCCTGGGATATATTATGGAGGCTATAAAGGCTAGAATAGGCGGGGCCCTACTAGGGATTCTATACGGCACCCGAAGTACCCTAGAACCTTAAGCAAAGGAAGACAGCCGAATCTTGTCTTTGGGGAATACGGTGGCTGCTGTAAAACTGGACATGGTTGCAGGACGTCATCCTCTCATCCTCATATAGCTTCTGTAGACACTCCATGACTCCTACTGCTCAAGGTCTTAGGATCTGACGCTTGTGCCCCAAACCCTAAACCCAACCCTAAACCCTAAACCCTAACCCTAAACACTAAACCCTAAACCCTAAGCCCTAAACCCTAAACTTTACCTCTGGTTGGCAAGGGCTCAAGGCATGGATCCTACAATACAGAGTTTAGGGCTTAGGGTTTAGGATTTAGGGTCTAGGGTTTAGGATTTAGGGTCAGTAGTCTCAACATATACCCCACCGCTACAGTACACTAAGGGTCCAAGTACTTAATCATCATGTGCATACAGAAAATCTGTACTACAACTACTATTACCAGACTCCCAAATACCTAATTATTGATCACTTGGACCCTGAGAAGTAGTTTCCATTGTCCCTTCGATTCCCTCATTCCCTGCTAAGCAGAACTAAGTTGAGGACTGGCCCCTAGGCTCGAAAGCCAGGACTCATGACAGGGCGCATACATCCCCACACATCCCTAGATATGCTATATACCCTCCTAGAGAGTTCCTGGAGAGCCCCTGCTCCGTGCTAGCTTAGATAGCTTTGGACACTTGAGCTGGATGGTTTTTCCAGTCTTTTCAGAAATGAAGAGCCAATGCTCTCCGGTTGTCTAGAAGGCTGATCACTTGCACTCCACCCTAGATTCGCCACCTCGCAGCCCGCAACACTGAACATCAAACCCTACAAGACAATTCGGCCAAGAAGCTGTCCCCGCTGTAACTCTCCAAAAGCCGCACAATGTGCGGGTGGACCCCAATTCGCATTAGCCTCACGCTGGCGGAGAATTGACGCGCTTGGGGCTTGGGGTGGAAGCATTTTCCTGGGAGCCTTGGAACCCTCTGATCCCCTAAGGGTCCAAGTACCC